AGCGCTAAAGCGCAGGGGAAGAAGGGTAGCGACTTCGTGGGCATGTAGTTGTACGTTTTTCAGCAGACACAATATTGTTTTTCAATCCAAGCCTCAGGAAGGTAAGCATCTTATCAATCCCACGCTCCTTTCTTTCCAAAGCTTGAATAAAACCTATATTACCCTTGCCAAAAAACGTTTCTGAGCACTCTTATATGCCAGCAAAGCCGGCTAACCCTCTCTATAGCGGTTGATGTCGTTGATGTCGGAGATAAGGGTTGCCTCCTCTTACCCCTTCAACTACACTTTCGCCCTGCAGCTGAAAACCAGGTGATTACTCCTGTATTCAGTGTCGCATGGGAGAAAGTTGCTCCGGAGTATTGGCTCTGGTGGATCGACAGATTACCGTTTGCCAGTACGACGAGACTAAAACGAACCGACAATGCATCTATCATGCTGACTGTCTCCAAGGCCAGGTCATCTCACTACATATAAATAAATAAATAAATAAATAAATAAATAAACAAACAAATAAATAAACATATTTGTTGTTTTCCTATCGTATGACACCTGTATTTATAGCAATGTCTACGAAACGACAGCGACGTATTTGTGTGTACACCCTCAATGGAAGCGGCACTAGGAACGGTCTCATGCACCTATGACTACGAATGTTCTGGAGGTGAAAAATGTATGAAGGTTGCTCAGGAAGGGGAAAAGGTACATATTTCGCAAAAATGGGTAGAATACGGAAGAACTAAACGAATTAACTTCGAGGTTTTCCGTTGCCGCCCTTCGCAAGTGGCAGATCCGCGTCGAGATCAACTTTGCCAGAGCAACGCCGATTGCGCTTATCAGCAGGTACTTGAGAAAGCTCAAATAGCATGAAGAAGACTCAAGTACCATGAATAAAGACAGAGAGTGTAAAAAAGAAATGGTCAAAGGTATACAAAGCAGCTAAGCAGTAGTGACATTAATCATAGTCTCTTCGCATGGATCAGGCCTTGAAAATGACCAGCATTAGAAGGAACACGAGACAGACATCCATCACGCTTTCCATACCCATATGGTAGTAACAGAAAATGAAGAAACAGACAGCCTACACATGAAAAAGGCCTAAATGGGAGCCAATTCAGGGAATTTAGTAGCTCCAATGTTCTCATTTCTGGCACTATTTGAATTTTCTAATCTCAGAGTGCTGTAGACCACAAGGAACGATTCCATAGTGTTATGGCAGTATAATTAGAGGGAAGGGCTCCAAAATCGACTTCACCGACGTTCACAGTCTAAGTTGACCGAGATCTCAGTCGAGTTGTCGAGGCTACAGAGATTGCATTACTCGAACTCAGACGCGCGGGCGTTGCAGGCGGTTTTGCAGCCATGTGTGCGCAATGGCACACATTGCGTACAGCTCGTCCAAACACCCTTTCCACGCCATTTTTCCTCACATTCCTGCCCAACCCCCGTTTTTTGAAGCCTTTTATTTTCCTAGAATCATCGATTTACATGTTTCTTTGAGGTCATTGCGTTATTTATGGCCTTCCATCTCTCGTCTCAATCCTGGGACCCCTGAATGATCGTAAACTGTGCCTTTGACTAGATGGTACCCTTGAAAATATAGCATAGGAACTCTCGTGTAACGACTTCTGTGAAGTTTTTATGGGGTACAAAAACCGATGTTCATAGATTTCTCAAGTCTGAAAAGTTGATCAAAGCCATCGCCGATGCCCCTAATAAATTAGACCGTGTACCACTCAACTATTATATAAGCTATACTGTGAAGGTCCAAATAAATAATTTATTACAGTATTGACTCCTGCAGAGAATTGTCATCCTTTCAGGTGTGCAGAAGGGTGGCTGGTGTGAGTTTATGTGTTGATGTTGCTTCAACGCCACTGTTCAACGTCCAAAAGAAGATTGTCACATTCATCAAAAATCTTCTGTTTTCAAAGAAATGACACTTTTATATATATATACTTGGGTTTTGAGCTTCATATAGGTACACTTGCTATGACTTCTCTTGATAACGATAAAAACCACTGAGGTTGTTGTGAACGTCGAAACACAAACAATTAACTTCTCCTCCACCGGATCAGAAAAAGGCGGTTAAGTGGTAGTGCTAGACTGTGANAGGGGGGGGGGGGGGGGGGGGGGGGGGGGGGGGGGGGGGAAGGAAGGGTACCGCACTTTTCCAAGATTGAGCGCTAAGATCAGCGCGATCATCGTTCAGAATGTGCTGAAGGAACGACTGTTGCGATTTCTTCGGAATTTCGAAGAAACAGTGTCAGAATGTGAATTTTGACAACTTTTAAGATAGATGATGAACAAAAAGGTACTCGTCGAGGGTATGGACCACTTCAAAGTATTCTTGAACGAGACGATTGCTGTTTACTCTTCTAGACTGAAATTGTCCATTTCGCCATCGAATCTCTCTATACTGCACAAGTGAACTGAAGCGATTATAGCCAATCCAGCAAAAGAAGGTGAAAGCGTAGTCAAGGAGTTAGAGGAGGGATTTGGGATCTTCTCCTAACACTGAGCGCCAGAGCGCTGAAAAGGAAGGGTAGCCAAGCGCGATCCCATAATGGTGTGTAAGGATGTTTCATACTCGATAGGTATGACTAGGCCTCGCAGGGGAGGACCACTGGGGTGGGTAAGTCAAATGGATGCCTATTTCCAACCTGCTCTCAACTTTTTGCAAATTATCTCATTGAAATTATCTCACCCACCTGTGCTACTCCCCTACAGAGGCTCAGATAAAACTACTTCCCTTCGGCTAGGAATCTTTCCTAAGTTGAGGTAAGTCAGCTACCTCTCATTGTTTGCGCTCTAGCGCTCAGTGTGGAGAACGATGGCTCCCCCAACTACACTTTCACCCACAAGGACATGGGGGTGATTTAAATACTTATTTATGGGGTGGCTTAAGGAGGCACGGAGTTTGTTAGTTGAAGATTCAAAGCAGTTTTAGACCTCCATAGAATAATCTACGACCCTTGAAAAGCTTTAAATATTGATAGTTGTTGTTAGACAGTCAGTTTTCTTCATGCTCAACGGCAGCAAAGGCGATTTTTCCTGTCCTTTCGGTGACGTCTTCTCGAGTGTTCGATAATGTCGGCGGCACGGCCTCCACCTCGTCGTATCCTATTGCATTGGCCCTCTGTTCAGCTTGCTGCTACGTCTCTTCTCCGAAATAGCTAGTCCCTTTACTCTGGTCATTTCCGATATGCCTATGAAAACAGCCATGTTTGCTGGATTTGCTGCTGATTTCTCTATTTGGAGACCAGAAATCAAAGCTCCCACAAATCCAAAGCCGGCGGCGCTCAAGACCTCTGAGCCTCATAATGCCTCCGATTCGAACCCGATAACACGCAATGACGAAAGCGACCGAGTTAGCGATGAGAACGAAACTTGACCTCTTAAATGAGACACAGCAACCAACGCGCTCCCCGTGGTGGTGGGTACACGCTCGGGGTTTTTGCGCTTTCCTGGACAGGTTGTGTCAGTTGGCCGGCCTTTCAGTACCATCCTGTTCCATTCTCTGTCCTCGTGTAAATTGATATTCATTGGTAATGATGCCGTAACTGCCGAAAACGCCGCTATCCCCTAGTGAAGGGGGTTTCCATGGCAATTGGTCATCAACATGTTTTCATCCTCCGATTTCTCACCTTTTGATTCGCACGTTCCTGACGGCTTTTTACAGCATTGGCCTTTACTACGAATCTTCAATTCATTCCTTTTCTTGAGTCTATCTCATTACTTATAAATGACACTTGGAGAACGATTTGGTGTGCGCTGTGTGGAACATTCACCCACATCGCTCTGTATCGATCCAATCTTCTACAACAAAACGCCTTTCCAGACAAATTCGTCTTCGTTCGGCGTGGTTCAGCTTCAATTATGGAAAGCTCTGGGCATTGAAGAAATGAAAAGTCCAAATATAGCAGGGGTGAGACCGTAGGAGGGGACAGGGGGGCAGCCTTCTTTTCCGATATTGAGCGCTAGAGCGCTGAGAAGAGGGGTACCTGACCTTATTCGTGCTTAGGGAAGGTTCACAGAGATAAGCATAGAGAAACCCAAGACTTGGTCGAGGAGGGAGAGCATGTTGTGGCCTCGGGATTTCCTCGGGCAAAAGCTGGGATCTGGTAGGAATTGGTCACTCACATGACTCATTCACCCCGTTACACCTTCCCTTCCGAGGTTTAATCTAAAAATATTTTTGGAACTCAAAAGCTTTCCCAAGCAACATTTTGGGCTTGCGAAATCGGCTACCCTCCCTATTCTGCGCTCTAAGCTTAATTTTGGAAGAGAACGATGCCCTTCACTCCACCCCAACTACATTTTCACCTATTTCAGGGCATCCTAGCCGTTGACCTATCGGGTTGGAGAAAAGCTTATGATGAGAACGGGAGGCTATTTTTCACTTTAAAACAGTCATTAGCTTCTCTATAATCATCCAAACCCCTCAACACACATGCTTGAATGGCTATTAATCTTCGAAAATCATAAAGGAAATTGATTGTTGAGGCGGGGTATGAAGTACACCATATATTTGCTCATTTAAACCTTTATAGAAGCCATATATCCATATTTAGCCTCCTCATTTTGGTATATAATCATGCCATATATGGAAGTCTTCTTGGATTTTTTAAAATTCATTGTTGGACAAATGACAAAGAACAACAACAAAGACGTTGTCAAATCTCTGTCAAGCTATAGAAGGAAGCAGAGAAGGCCTATGAAGTAGGTGAAGGGTTAAGGGAATGGGTAGAAGAGGACAAACTTCCATAGGGTCACCTAGAAGAGAGAGAAGCGAGTTTTGAATCTTGCTCAAGACGTCCTTTCAATAACCTTAACCTAAAATCTCTGCTACTAAGAAAGGGCACCGACAATGTCTGCCCCTGTGAATGGTTCAAGAAAAGCCGGTTTCATAGCAGCCACCCCGCTGGAAGCTCCTTTCGGCTAGATACTCTCAGAGTACGATAGGCAATATCTTTCGAAAAACTTTAGTTTTTTCATTCTTAATCCTTCTTCGCATTACAGTTCTTAAGATTCTTCTTTCCCCTCCACCCTCTCCCACCACACCTCCACCCAGCACCCTACCCGTGAAACCAACGACGCCAGAAAGATGGCAAAGGAAAGGTGTTTAGAAGTAGCATCAACTTTCCACTGACTGGGAAACTGCCCCAACCTGAAACTTGAATCTTCCCCCTTAATTTATATAATCTTCAAATGATAATAGCTGAAATAAATCATTTGTCGGGAACGGAGTCAACTAGAAGATCCTAAAATAGCGATCTAATGTTCCGGTGCCATTGCTCGAATGTTGCCTTCTGGGCCATACGAAAATTTCGATCCGCAATTTCAATTCACTGTCGAGGTCCTTGCCTAACCTACCCTTCAGTTACGATCTTCTAACTTCCAATAAAAGCCCTTAATACGATTAGAAATTCCAATAAAGCGCATCATACTGCATTAATATTAAGAGCATAAGCATAAAGAACTATATGTAGTGAAGTTCAATGAAAAACTTTACAAACCCAGGTAGGTTCNCAAAGAAATTCAAAGAAATTCGACTTGAAGCAGATCGATTTCTGTACTTTCAACATCTATATCTCGTTCTGATTTTTTTCGAACTCCGTGTCGCTGAGATTAAGCAAACGCCAAGCGTTCCGTGACGACACACACAAACTGAAGCAGTCAATGTCTCCGAGCAGTTGCATATACCCCTTCAATATCTCGCTTCTATTTAGGAATGAAGGGCCCTGAAGTTTCTTTCTCCCATAGACTTTGACCATCCTTCCTTTCTCAATCCAGCCTCTTCATTTTCCTCGTCGTTCTAATTTCACATACGTGTGTTCGCACAGACAGCGAGAAATGTAGGTCTCATAAAAATCGAACTGGTCTCTTCCCGTGCTGAGCGCTTTTTTCAAAGATGACACTCTTTGAATCAATGGGAAATCGCATTTCCTTTGAGCCTGACCCGCACTGCAATCGAAGGCTCCCATTTTTCGTTTTGTTTCCTGAAATCCCAGTTAGACACAATTAACAGAGACATTACTGCCAAACTTGGCCGCAGTCTTCTGACCATGAGAAGTGGCTGGAAAAGCGAATGACCTTTTCCGTCATCAAGAGACACAGCTTCTTCACTTTTTCTTAAATAGTGTCCTTTTTTTCTTGCGAATTCGGAGCGTAGACTGGAGTAGTGGAGACCGACGTCATCATATTCTTCCTCTTGGTTCTCCCAGTCGAAGCACGGGTCTTCCGAAGCCTCGGCTGGGAAAGCAAAGAGAAAGAGGATGATGACGTCGGTCGTAGCGTCACCTGTCATCGTTCTCATCTAAGGAGATGAGTTCAAGATCAACTAGGGTACAGCGCTTAGAGCGTCATAGATGTTTTCCTTTCCGGCAAGGCTCCGTGATGGGAGGAGCCTGTCAGTCTGACGACGATAACGTGAGCGACGGCTCCGTCAGAGCTTTTTTCGAGTCATCTTCCCTTCTTTTACTTGGAAATGATAAGTGGAATAGTCGATTATGTAAAAGAGCGATAGAAAGAAAGCTATGTCTCCACTCACCCACCCAGTCTCTCTGCCCCTCTTTCCCTGCCACCCAATCGATTTTCACCCCTGCTTATGTGAGACCTCTGTGAACTGGTTTTGGATGAGTAAGACTTTGTGTGACTGACTGCACATGCAATGCCTTTCTCAAGTTTCTATCAGCTGTCTCGTCTGCTGTCCCCGAAACTGTTCGAGAACAGTTTTTTCCTCCCCAAAACGCTGACATAGCCCCCTCTGACAATCGGCCGCCTCCGTCTGTCCAATAATCATGGGCTCAGTTCGTTCATAGAATGTGTTTGCTCAAAAATTGAGTGTCGATATTCGGCTCTCGATCATGTAAACTTTGACTTCCTCTTCATGACAGCCACATTCGATTACTTCGAAGTTCTCGACGTTGTTCGTCCT